CATATTTAATACCATGTGAATAATAAAATGAAAGCAAAAATACAGATCCGCATTAATACTTTCTAAATGTCATTCAGTTCCGATAATTACCCGTCACGACCTCATAATAGTTTATAATGCTGATTTTAAACATGAAAATTTTAGTTTTATATGCAAGGTAGCCAATAATAAGTTACAATTTTGGGGGATGTTTATTTGTAGCATAACAAATTGAATGGGTCAAAGTTCTGGGGTGATATTGTTCCAGAATGTCTGCCATGATGATGATATTTGGAAATCTTGGTATCAACACTTGACATAAAGTTTGCAAACCACGAGTTTGGGGCTTCTTGGGTTTGGAAGTATCCAGTTCAAACTCCACCTTTGTTCATGATTGGTCAATCAGGTGGGCACCATATAGATTTTGCAATCTATAAAACAAAACAAAACAGCAAAACCTTCATTGCAGCTCAAGTCCATCACCTTCCGTTCGACGTGTTGGAAATCTAAACTCCATGCGCTACAGAGCCCTGTTCAATAGTCACAGGCTCCGCCCACAAGTAGACGAAACAAACAAACAAAAAAAAAACAACCAACCAAAAACAACACCAAAATAAAGCTAGACAGTTACTTTTAGCTAAAGTAAACCTATGTCAAAGTATACAAAATTAATAAAATAATTATAACACTGAAAAAAGAAACCTGTGACCAAAAATACAATATTTAATTTCATAGAAAACACTCAATTTGGACACCGTTGCCAACCGCCATAAAAACGGAAAAGAAGAAGAAGAATTTGCACAACGTCTTCTTGATTATGTCATTACGCCGTCACGTGATTCCCTCCCGGCGCGCTTTAATCCGGAAATAGCTTTGGTTGAATATCTACAAATGTTTGACACTGAAAATTACAAGCTAGGATGGATATGATGCCTAAGCACCCACGTCGAGCTGCGGCAGTTTGTGCTGAAACCAAAAAGTAACTTATGTCGAATGTGCTGTTCGTGTTGTGTGCTTGCATTTTGGCACGGACTTTACTGTAGGACTACGTCACAGGCATCCTAGAAATCCCAATTCAGCTAATTGGTCCCACGTTTACTGGAATTGTTTTGCCTTTTGAAATGTACACAGACTTAACATGATGGAATATTGTAACATAATTCTAGTCGCATCTGGTGGCCATTTTTCAGCTCCTATTCTATTGCTTCCACGTGTAAATGTTGACTGGGCATTGGCTGAGATCAATCACACAAATCTTGCTTTTGAATTGAAAAATTGCTGTTGGCATTTACTAACAAGGCGCAGTGCATACAGTGTGGTAACGCAACTAACGAACTGGAGATTGTGGTGATGTTTGATGTAGAGGTCCTAAGTGACAGACGGCAAATCAAGAAGAAGGAACATGGGAAACTTGAGAAATACCAGAGGCTCAAAGAGGAAATGGAGAGGTTTCAGAAAGCCAAGGTCACAGTGATCACGCTGTCATCGGGTTATGACCCACAGACTGGGAGAGGGAGAAGCTCCAGTGGATTCCAGGAACAATGTTGGAGATCTCTTTCCAGATAGGAATACTCCAAGTAACAGGTCTCTGGTAGAGAACCAAAGTTTGAAAAGGCAACCACAGACACCGAGGAGCGTGTGGAGTTATATAAATATGTACATGTTTGTGTGTGTAACTGAGAGCTGAAAGTAAACTGCACTTTGACACAGAGAGCTGCTCTTTCCCTGTTTAGTTTCTGAGGTTGCTATTTATATGAAAACTTGCTTTCTCACTCATCCAAAAAGTCCTCGTAAAACTCTCATACCTGGACTCAGGGCCGTATCACAAAATGTACACGACCTGTACCTGAAGCTCCCCTATACGCACACGTCAACATTACGCATACTGATGATGTGTACCTGAATGAGGAGTATATAAAAATATTCTGTGGTGCAAATACACACAGATCCACATGGGAGCACCTCCTGCTCTCTGCATGCTTAGACAGGAAGTGTTCCTCCCCTGGACTCTAGTTGGACAGCTTAACAGCCAATGGGAAGAGAAGCTCAACTAGGAGTGGATCTCTGGTTCTCTGTTGCTCTTTATGTACTGTATCTTATTTTCACTGTCTCTTTGTCTCCGTGCCAGTATATTTGACTATATTTAATTTTTTTCCCATGTGCTCTTTTTGCCTGAAGGCTTCGTCTTTCTCTTTGGTTTTTACGTAACGGCCCTTTTGGTTAAGGGAGTGGGAGGAAAACAAAAAAAAAAGAGCAGATGACAAGAAACAGACGACAGAAAAAGGAAGAGACGGTTTGAAGGGAAGCAGATAGATGCAGCGTCAGAGACACGAGTGGGGCTCCTGGAAAAAAGTGTCTGAAAGATTCAACACTTGACACTGATCTCTCAGTAAATGCCAACATTTGCTTTTAATAAAAAAAAGAATTAGAAAACGGGATTGCTACCGCATATAATTCAACAAAAGCTTACGAGTGACCATGTGTTTTTGTGTCTGTCGTTTTGCGTAATTTGGGGATTGTTGAGATAACCTCTAGCCCTCACTTTGACGTTGAAAAAGGCAAGGAAGGGGCCACATTCATTTCACCACACACATGCAAGCATGTACACATGATTTAAGGCCACTTTACAAACATGCAGCAGGCTAAGAGCTATTCACCCCTGACCTTTGGTCCGTAGCTAAAGTATCTCTCTGCTCGCTGCCTTATAATTAGCAAAACTGCCAGCAGTGTTAAAATGGCGCATGCATTTGAGGAAACGACCCCCCAGCCCCCCGCCGTTCTTTTTTATTCACCTCAAAGAAGTTTGTTTTTTTGTGAAACTATAACAGCCTGACAGAACGTCCAGTTACCTTTTTATGCTTTAAAACAAGTTAAACTAGAGTGATATGAAAACAAATGTTGGTAAATAAAAGATGTGGTTTTTAAATTATTATTGCTATTATTATTATTATTATTATTATTATTATTATTATTAAGAAAACAAAAACAATCCAAATCAATCTAGCCCAATGTGAAATCATTTATTATCCCTAAACCCAATGACTGGTTGTCATCAGTTGTACTAAATGGCAACAAGCCAGTCCTGCATTTCCATGGAGAAATTTTGCCGCACACTTTTTTTTTTTGAAGAATTATTGCAACTCAACCCTGTTGTAGGGCTTTTGAGCATTTAAAATCTTTCTATGATCATGCCACAGAATCTGAACTAGATTAGTCCGGACTTTGTTTGGTCAGTTCAAAACCTTGGTTTCTTTTCAACATTGCCAGGTTTCTGCATTTGGGCCCTTAATTTCACTGTCCTTAATAAGTTGGTTTGGATAGCTTTTTTTCTCCTTTTAAAAAAATTAAAATAAACTACATTTTGTGTTTACTCGGGTTGGTTTCACCTGACTATAAAAAAAATGTAATGTCAGTGTAACTGAAAGGCAAAAACAGAAGAAATCTCTAAGGATTAAACTATTTTTTCATACCATTGGTCTGGTCTTTTTTGAAAGACAGATGTAGAGAATCATAAACTTAAATATTAGGTGTGTAACCACAACTCATGGAATGAGATCTTGTGATTTTTTTTTTTATGATTAAAAAAAAAAACCACTCTGAAAGTTTGTTGACAAAGTGAAATCTGTCTTGTGAAGTTCTGTTTAGTTGCTGTCAAAATGCTACATTGTCGGGTGATGTTAGCTTAGGCTATTATAATCGACCCAAAACATAAAGGCAGATATGTTAAATCTATGATTGAGACTTTTATTTTGAAGTAAGACGGGAAGTAACAGATTAGTTATCTGCTTGTGTTTCCAACATAAGCCAGTAACACTGAAAAACCTCCATAACCTTTAAATTGCTTTTTGCCAGCATTGAAAAATTAAACACTAACATATAATCAAGTATTTGTGAGCACTTAGAGAATATAGCGATTCCTCAGATTTTTCTGTGGAATACAACTCCAAATTGTTCACAAAAAAAAAAAAAAAAAAAAAAAAAAAAAAAAAAATTAAAAATAATTTTTTTAAAAAAAAAAAAAAAAAAGGTTTTAAAAACCAAAAAATTGGGGTTAAA